CTGTAGAGTCCTTGTAAGATACATTTAGCTTCAAAAGATTGACTCGTAAAATACATTAGTGTTTTGGGGGCAGTGTATTTCTTTTCAAATGTTTAGCTTTCAAGCGGTATCTAAGAAAGAATTTGGAAGAGGATATGCTTCTATTTATGAGAAAAGCTAGGTGCCAACAAATGATATCTGGACCTTTGGTGAAAACAGGATTAGCAAAGCCAATGGAATATAGATAGAGTCTTGAAATCTTAATGCTAGAAGGAGCAGTGTATGTTCAACCTTGAATAAAAGACATTTTCCAGAGCAGAAAGCATTCCAGGTCACCTGCCCACTTTGTTCTACGTTTGTAAAAATGTTCTTCTCAAGAACAACAACCAAGTCCCCCAAACAGAGAAACTATATTAATCTGAGTCCTCAACCAAACCATTGAACTTTTTCTCTGAATTATGATAGAAACTTGAATCAAAGATTTTCAATTTTTAAAATAAAAATCTCCCTGTCAACTGAAATAATTTGAGCAGCAGTATTCTAATATTGGAAAAGCGAACAAAACCAAGAGATCCAACTGTTCTCTAAATCAGAGATGGGCAGTTTTTTTCTGGAAGGATCAGATATTTAAGGGCTTGCTGGCCAGAAGGTCCCTGCCCTGCTATTGTAGCCTGAAAGCAGCCATAAACAGCATATAAATGAGTAGGCATGGCTGTGTCCTAATAAAAGTTTATTTAAAAATACAGGTAGTGGGTTAAATTTGGCCTAGGGGAGGTGGTTTGCTGACTTCTTCTCTATCTCAACTTGATTTTATTCCATTAGAGCCCCTAGGTCTGTTGATTAGTTGAGCCAGCCGGATCAGTGTCTTTCCCGCTAGGTTTAGTTAGAAGGGCTGAGCTTTGTTGAAAAACCTCTGCTTGGTTGAATTAACCCCTGGCAAGTTGCTCAAACTTCATGTCTCATTTTTCCCATTGGTGTGTTGGGGATAAAAACATATCTTTTTCCTCCCGGCAGGATGAGAATGGGAACAAAAGAGTCAGAGTGGTGGAAGCAGCATCCACCTTGTTTCCCTTCCCATCATCTCAATGCATTTGACTTTTGTTGCTCTGTATTTTCTGTTTCCTGTGAGGCAAACAGATGAACATCAGCAATTCCCAGAAATTGTCTCTGTTTAAAAAGAAGAATTTTAAATGGCTTTCTGCATCACAGAATAAGCTCTTGTAAACAAATTTTGCAACAAAACGTAGCTAACAAAAGGGAAGGTAGTGTTGACCTTCAAAATACCAGTTAGTTTATCCCTGATGGGAAAGAAATAAGAGATGAAGGCAGGTGGTTAGTTTCCATGTTTGGAAAGTCATTCATGCGCAGAACATGTTTCTCCATGTCTTCCAAGGTATTAGCCCTCCTAAAGCTGTTGAGGATAGTGATGTGGAGAAGCCTGGGGCTCAGCTCCTGACATACCCAACATCCTGGCAGGGAGGTGCCTACAGTATCTCAAGGGCCCAGGCAGAAGAGGGAACACAGATCTGGGGCAGTAAGAAGACAGGGCGGGGCTAGGCATGGTGGCTCACGCCTGTAATCCCAGCACTTTGGGAGGCCATGGTGGGCAGATCACCCGGGGTCAAGAGTTTGAGACCGGCCTGGCCAACATGGCGAAACCCCATCTCCACTAAAAATATAAAAATTAGCCAGGTGTGGGGGTGCACACCTGTAATCCCAGCTACTAGGGTGGCTGAGGTGGGAAGATAGCTGGAACCTGGGAGATGGAGGCTGCAGTGAGCCAAGATTGTGCTACTGCACTCCAGCCTGGGCAATAGAATAAGACTCCGTCTCAAAAAAAGAAAAAAAAAAAAAAAAAAAAAAAGAAGACAGGGCAGGGGTGGGAGGGGAAGGGTTCTGAGGGGAGGTGGCGTTTGAGTTGGGGAGGTAGAGGAAGGCAATGCACATTTGGGGCCGTGTGTACAAAGGCAGAGTGTTGCCTGATGCTGGTCTGCTTGGGACCTGGTGAGAAAGAAGGGCGGAGACTTGGGAACAAGTCTTGTGTGTGAGGGCAGGAGTGGGAGAGACTGGGAGGTAGCATTGGGGGCTGTCAGTGAACAATCTGCTTCACCAGCCCAGGGTTTAGGCTTAACGTGGGTGGCAGTGGGGCATCCCTAAAGATTGTAGTCCATTTTCTATCTTAGGAATACAACCCAGGTAGTGGTACAAACTTTGCTGCTTACTTAGGATGAAGAGTATATTAAGCTCAGCTCTGACATGTTACTGTTGTAACTCAAGTACAAAAGCCCCCAGGGCAGTTATTTTTATTACTGCAGGGTTCACGGGGGGCACAGAAAGGCTAAATAACTTGCCCAAAATAACACAGCTAATAAGTGGCAGAGGTGGAATTTAAACCAGGAAGTCTGGCTGCAGAATTTATCTTAACCAGTTTGCTTTGGAGGACTCATCATTCACTGGTTCATTCATTCATTTATGCATTCAACTAAAATTTATTAAGGGCCTATTGAGTCTCAGGTACTATGTTAGGCATTGCAGACACAGAGGTGACTGAAACAAACAGTTTTTGCTCATATGAAGCTTTCAATCTAGCAGCAGAAACAGACACTAAAAAGGTAAAGCAGAAGTGAGTGTGATATAGCAGGTGAGTGTGATCGAAGGTGCCAGCACAATGTGGTTGGATGCATATAGGTGCTGCTTACATCCAGTGGCCAGAGAAGGCATCTCCAGAGCCCTGAGAGGTGCGTCTGAGTTGAGATTTGAGTAACAAGCTGGAGATATTCACATGAAAAGCCAGAGAAAACCTCCTGAGATATTCACATGAAGAGCCAGAGTACCCAGAGCCTCCTGGGTACTACTCTTCCTTGTCAAGCACTAGCAGGAAGGCCTGGATGTCTGGGCTTGTGTGTCTGGAACAGTGAATGACAGACACAGGAGGTGAGAGGAGGAGGTGGGGGCCAGGCCACCCATGGCCCTTAAGTCCAGTGTAAAGTAAAGTGATGGCCTTTTATCCGTGGAGTCATGGGGAGCCACTGGAGAAACTGAACCAGGGGAGTGACTAGATGCGCTCTGTGCTTTAAAGAAAGGAAGGACTGGTGGAGGAAAAGCTGGGGTGGGATGCCCAGTGTATTCCTGGGGTCCAGGTGAGGGGAGTGGGGTCTCAATCAAGGAGATGGGCATGGGAGTGGGGAATAGGGTTGAGGGAAGGGTCAACTCAGAGACAGGTCTTCAGGTCTTGTGGAGAACTTTTCTGACACCTCCACTCCCTTCCACCCAGACTGGGCTAGACAGTCCTTTGTATTTCCTGAGCCCTGTATTTTCCTGTGGCAGCATTTACTAATTGACTAATAGATTGACCATTAGAATGGGTCTGATCCTTTTTTGGGTCCCTGTGGTCTAACACAGTGAATGGCACTGGACAGCACATGAGAAATGATGCCACAGATCCTGTTGGCATTGTCAAGGCCACCAGAAAGCCCCCTTAAAGGGTTCTGGAGCGCAGTTAGGACTGGAGAGTAGACGTGAGAGTCATCAGTGGTGGGTGGTAGCTGGAGCCATGGGTGCAGGATGAGAGGGGAATGTTGGAGAAGAAGGTGAAGGGTGCACTCTCTGGGCAGCAGAAGCTTCTAGAAATTAGCCATGGAGGTAAGAAACCAGGAGATCCTTGGAGCCAGGGTTTTGTTGGGATAATCATTTATTTATGTCACTTGTCCTAGAAGGCTCAGGTAAGATGAGGACTGAAGACAGGCCATGGAGTTTGGCAGTTAGGGGGTCTTCATTGACCTTAGTGAGAAGTGGTTCAGCACAGCCAAGAAGCGGAAGCCAGATTGGAATTAATTGAGAAGGTTTTTTTTTTTTAAATTTTTTAAATTTATTTTTAAAACCAGAACATTTATTGTGTGACTAATCGGTGAAATTCTTAAGATGAACTGGATGCTGCAACAGCTGCCCTCTTGGGTTTAGGTGGTGTTCCTTCACGGAATCCATGCCTGAATCTGCGGTATACAATTTTTTAGGTGCCTCATTTGACCAGTCCTGGTGGTAGTTCGTCTTTTAGCCTTGGCACTCCAGTTATACTTTCTCTTGCGCTTGGCAGGGTAGCCACATTTGCCGCCGGTCGACTTCTGAAGGTGGTAGGCCTTAGAGCCACAGCGGCGGCACAACGTGTGCGTCTTATTACGACGCTTCCCAAACGTTGACGTTCCCTTCATCATCCTGCTTCTGCGACCTGGACCAGAAAGCTAATTGGGAAGGTTTTGGAAGTTGAGGCAGTGTGGCCTGGAGTCTAGTAGCTCAGTGGTCAAAGTGCCTTGTAGCCAAGGTGCAGAATTAGAGCAAGCCATGGCTAGGCATTGGGCACTTTGAGGAATGCTCACTGCGTTTTGGGCTCACAGCCCAGCAGGAGAAAGCAGAGCCTTTCAAGAAGCAGCAGCTGGAAGGATTCAAGGGGCTTTTCTTCAGGGATGGAAGATTCCAGCACACATTTGAATGATTTATGTCTACTCTGAAAACCTTAAAAAAAGAATTTGAATAACCCAACAATTCTCCTGTTATATGCGCAACCAAGCATAGACATACATTCTCAAAAAACATGTTTGTAAAAGCATGTCTATAAACCTGTTTTTTTGAGAATATAAGTCTATGCTTGGTTGGACATATAACCAGGAGAATCATGCTACTATGTGTAGTTACACATAGTAGCATGATTCTTCTTCTTTTTTTTTTTTTTGAGACAGACTCTCACTCTGTCACTCAGGCTGTAGTACAATGGTGCATTCTCCACTCCAAACTCCGCCTCCATGGTTCAAGCGATTCTTCTGCCTCAGCCTCCCAAGTAGCTGGGATTACAGGCGCCTGCCACTGGGCCCGGCTAATTTTTTGTATTTTTAGTAGAGATGGGGTTTCAACATCTTGGCTAGGCTGGTCTTGAACTCCTGACCTCTTGATCTGCCCACCTCGGTCCCCCAAAGTGTTGGGATTACAGACGTAAGCCATGGCACTCGACCACAGCATGATTCTTAAAAGTCAGGAACTACAGCGGACACCAGTACTCCAAGATGGTGTCAGTCATACCATTGAAGGACAGGAAGCTTCTGGAGGTCAAACTAGGAGAGCTGCCAAGCTGGATCTTGATGCGGGACTTCAGCCCTAGTGGCATTGTCGGAGCGTTTCGAAGAGGTTACTACCGGTACTGTAACAAATATATCGACGTGAAGAAGGGGAGCATCGTGGGGCTTACCATGGTGCTGGCATGCTGCATAGTCTTCAACTACATCGTTTCCTACAAGGAGCTCAAGCACGAGCGGCTTCACAAGTACCACTGAGGACAAGCTCTGCACTCCCGTCCATGACCTTCTTGGTTTGAGCCCGTCCATAAGGAACACAGTCTCGATTATTGCTGAATCCTTTCATATCCTAATGGAATTAACCTCCAAATAAAAGATGACTGGTAAAAAAAAAAAAAAAAAGAAGTCAGGAACTGCAATCTACTCAAATATCCATCATGACTACAAAGGATTAAACGTCGTGGTATGTTCACACAGTGGAATACTGTGCAGCTATGAGACTGCTCTACAGCTCCACTCAGTAATGTGGATGATTCCACAAACATCTGAAAAGCCAGACACAAAAGGGTACATACTACATGGTTCTATTTGTACAAACTATAAAACCATGCAGAGCGAATCTAGGCTGTTAGAAGGCTGGAGAGCTGTTACCCATTGTGGGAGGTAGCAAGTGGAAGGGAGCACGAGATGGTTTTGGAGATGCTGGTAAAGTTATCTTGCTTGATCTGAGTGTATTGCTTGATTGTTTTAACTATTTCAGTTAAAACAGTAGGAAAACAGGACTCTATACCCCAACACTCACCCCGAAGGCTTTGACTTTCTTCTGTAACCATTTTTTTCTTTTGCGTCTACCTCAAGGCTGACTAGAGAACTCACTGCATTTGCAAATAATATTGTTCCATTCATTCATTAATGCCATATAGACTTTACCACTGTCATCTTCTCCAATTCAGTCCCTCAAGTGGGTGAGTTGGCGGGAAAATGGAGACGGATAACATCAAAATGCAGCGTATGAACTGCTTTGAGCTGCAGAGTTCTTTCCTATCAGGTAATCTGAGTAAATGTTTCCCATTGACTGTCAGCTTAAAAGTCACAGTTGCCGGGCGCGGTGGCTCACGCCTGTAATCCCAGCACTTTGGGAGGCCGAGGCGGGTGGATCACGAGGTCAAGAGATCGAGACCATCCTGGTCAACATGGTGAAACCCCGTCTCTACTAAAAATACAAAAAATTAGCTGGGCGTGGTGGTGCGTGCCTGTAATCCCAGCTACTCAGGAGGCTGAGGCAGGAGAATCACCTGAACCCAGGAGGCGGAGGTTGCGGTGAGCCGAGATCGTGCCATTGCGCTCCAGCCTGGTTAACAAGAGCGAAACTCCGTCTCAAAAAAAAAAAAAAAAAAAAAAAAAAAAAAAAAAAAAAAAGTCACAGTTGGCTGGACATGGTGGCTTATGCCTGTAATCCCAGCACTTTGGGAGGCCGAGGCAGGTGGATCACCTGAGGTCAAAGTTTGTGACCAGCTTGGTTTCACCGACACGGTGAAAGAAACCCTGTCTCTATTAAAAATACAAAACAAAAGAAAAAAAAATGAGCCAGGCATGCACTAGCATGCCGGTAATCCCAGCTACTCAGGAGGTTGAGGCAGGAGAATCACTTGAACTCGGGAGGTGGAGGTTGCTGTGAGCTGAGATTGTACAGTTGCACTCTGGCCTGAGCAACAAGAGCGAAACTCCATCTCAAAATAAAAATAAATAAAAGTCATAAATAATGATGGGTTTTAGAAGCCATGATTAAAGCTACAAATCAGAGAGGAATTTCCATGCCTGCATGGCGCAGAAGGGATGGCCGTTCATGAATTAGGCTGGTCTTTCCAGCCAGCCCATTGCGTCGTGCTAGTAACAACCATCAGTAGCCCTCAAAGATTTGCAATATAAAACATTATGCATTGGATGGATCTGCTCATCTGAGAGCTAATAAATCAGTGTGGGTCTTGTTAGAGAATGACATTTATATAGAGAAAGTTTGCTTGCGCGACTTGCTGTTTAAATGTAGTTAAGTCAACAAGGACCTGAAGTGTGCAGCGGTCACTTCCCCACCAAAAGCCAGTAAAGAATCAAGAGTGTTCTTTATCTGTCAGACACATCAAGCTTGTCTAGTCTCGCTATTAGCAATAGTCCCAATTCAGGAATCTGTATTAGCCTGTTAGTGAGAAGATCAAAACTACTTTAAATAACACATTATGGGAGTGGTGTGTTCTAATTTTCCCAAGATCACCTAAGGCCTTGCAAAGATTTAGTTGTTAATTGAAGAGTGGCTAACACGACCGTATAAAAAAATTAATGTTTATTTATGTAAGTCCTACATGAATACATTCTCTGTTCTTCTTCTTTTTTTTTTTTAACTCCAAATTTTGCAAATAAGGCTTAAACTCCTTGGCCACTGTTAACCAATCTTCTAATATTTTGAATCAGACATGGACATGGTCGACTACGTCTATCATGTTCCCTGTTCAGTGTCCTTTAGTGCTATGTCAGAATCAGAATACTAGATTGTCTGGATAATTGGTCTGGCCCAGGGTGGCATAGCTCATGTAGAGTTATAATGACAGGGTGACATGTTGAATGGAGAATCGTAAATATTGGGAATGGCGGGAGAACAGGATCTTAATGAAAATGCTTGCTGGGGTAGACAGGCCGTAACATTCTGCCTCCAGCTCCAGCTCTGCTTATGTCTGGGCCAGAAAAGGGATCTCACTGGGTATGTTTTATTTTTATTTTTTCCCCCTTTTCCACTTAAAGCCAATTGTAGTCAGGGCTTGGGGGCTTTGTGTGAAATGGCTCAGTGCCCCTGAACCACTTGAAGGTGGCAGACAGTGTACTTTGCTGTGCTTGCCCCTTCATCTGGAATGTTCTTTTTTTCTTTCCCAGATTCTCTCTCTTCCCACGTGGCAGATTTCTTTTCGGTCTTCCAGGCCCGACTCACATACCACCTATGTTCTAGGGAAGCTGTCTCCCGTCTCTTCCACTCTCTTCCAAGTGGAGCTGTGTCCCTCCTGTTTGTCTGTGCTTATGTCCCATGCTGCTCGCCACCATGGCATTGTGGGTTGTGATGTACATGATGATCTTTGTTCCTGTGGGAACTTTCGGTGTCCAGGGACCACTACTCTGTTGAATTAGGTTTACTGTTGTTGCCTGCAGTGAACCATGAGGGAGGAGGGGACGTTCGAGGTGAGTCTGTTGTCAGCATGTGTTCTGTTGCTGTATTGATCTTCTGATCCTTTATTTATTTTTTTGCTGCAAAATGACCTGTAAAGTTTTTTTTTCTATTTATTGGATTATATCTGCTGTAATTGAATCTGAAATGCACATTCACCTAATGTTATACTTAAGATATTAATCCATACTTAGCCTGCTTTAAGACAGATTGGTATCTGGTGAGAAGCATTGACACATAGGTGAGGACCCAAGGGCCTGTGGTGAGTTTCACTATAGCATCCTCATCTGATTTCCCTTACGCCCCAGCATATGTTAAGTGATAGAGATACCGACAGGGTTGGACAACCCTTGAATAACTAGTTAGCACAGAGGAGGGCAAATCCTTTTTTCTCAAGGTTGTAGTTTCCGGAAATATTTTTCTCTGGTGGGCCTTTTAGTCGGAGAGGAGATCTTTTTTTTTTTTTTTTTTTTTTTAATGTAGTCACCTAGCATCGGAGGCAAAGGATAATAAATCCTTTTATTCTTTGCAAAGTGATTAGGACCTTTCTGAAGAGGAACTGATCTTATTTTAGGTTATGTGCGCTCAGAACCACAGTGGCCAACTTAGCAGTGGCTAGAAATGTAAATTCTGGACAATTATTATTACTGTTTTTGAGACAGGGTCTCACTCTGTCTCCCAGGCAGGAGAGCAGTGGCACAATCACGGCTCACTGCAGCCTTGGCCTACCCAGGTTCCAGCAATCCCCTCACCTCAGCCTCCCTGATAGCTGAGGCTGTCAGTAGAGGTGAGCTGTCTGTGTCTTAGCTATGGAAGTGGATGGTAGAGGTGAGTTATGTCCTAGCTCTTGAAGTGGTTTGTATGGTAGAGGTGAACTGTCTGTGTCTTAGCTATTAAAGCGGATTTTTAAACTGTACTTTTCCCTGGAGGGCAAAGAGCAGCCACAGCTGCCAACTGTGGTATAACAGAGCTGCAGGGGTGTTGGGCACACAGTTCAGGGTGGCTCATGTGTGCAGAGCCAGGGGATGGGGGCTGAGCATACGGGACAGGAGGAGAGGCCGCTGGCCCCGGTGAATCACGCTGGCCCTTCTCCAGGTCCTTTTTCTACTCTGCTTTGCTAGCTTCAAATATTCATCATTTTTGTTAAAGAGTCAGTAGTGTCCCGTGTCAACTTGTCAGTAAACCTAGAAATTTAGAAAGTGGCAGAAGCATAGAAAGCAGCTGCGGCTTAAAAGCTTATTATAGTGTAGATGACACCTGAAGTCAAAACATGATCAATACTCTTTTGTTTCTTATTTTACATTGGGCCAAGACAGCTTGAAATTATTGTTAGAAACTGTTTTGTTCAGAAAGCTTTGTTCTTCTGCATCATACGAAGCTTTTATAAATGGAGTTGGCAGCTTTTCTTTGTTTTTCAAATGTAAAAATATACGGTGAAAAAATTTGACTGGGAATTATTTATGTGAGACTTCATATTTCATTTCTAACTTGAATGCTTAAGATTCCTGATGTTAATGTGTGGTCTGGATTGTTGGGTCCCAGAGTAATTGACTGTAAGATCACATGGTAGACCTTAGCCCCTCGTTTCTGCCAGCAGCTGACAGACAACATGCTAACTTAGCAGTGGCTAGAAATGTAAATTCTTTTTTTTTTTTTTTTTTTTTTTTTTTTGAGACGGAGTCTCACTCTGTTGCCCAGGTTGGAATGCAGTGGCACAATCTTGGTTCAAGCGATTCTCCTGCCTCAGCCTACCGAGTAGCTGGGATTACAAGCATGTACCACCATGCCTGGCTAATTTTTATATTTTTGGTAGAGACAATATTTCACCATGTTGGCCAGGTTGGTCTCAAACTCCTGACCTCAAGTGATCCACTCGCCTTGGCCTCCCAAAGTGCTGGGACTATAGGTGTGAGCTGCTGCACCCAGCCTTAGAAATGTAAATTCTAGAAAATTATTATTATTTTGAGACAGGGCCTCACCCTGTCTCCAGGCTGGAGTGCAGTGGCATAGTCATGGCTCACTGCAGCCTTGGCCTCCCAGGCTCAAGTGATCCTCTGATTTCAGCCTCCCCGCTAGCTGAGATTACAAGTGTATACCAACACGCCCTGCTAAGTTTTTCTATTTTTTTTGTTGAGATGGGGTTTTCCTAGGTTGGCCAGGCTAGTCTCAAGCAAACCTTCTATCTTGGCCTTCCAAAGTGCTGGGATTATAGGCATGAACCACCACACTGGCCTCTAGAACGTTCTTTTTGAGACCAAGAATCATTCTATGTTCTACTCCCATTGTTAAGGGATGTAGCAAACTAGCTTGGTGGATCTTTACTATGCATTCATTCATTCATTCAGCAACTTTTATTGAATACTTGAGGTGGC